TTATTTTTGGAACATTTAAATAAAGAAGAAAAAATCTCTATAGAAAATTTGACTGCAAAATATTCTGATATATTTTATCTACCGGGAGATAAATTAAATACTACTTCTATTTATAAACACTCAATTCGCATGAAACCAAACACTGATCCCATTTATGTCAAACCATACAGGTTGCCTTATTCTCAGAAAGATGAAATAAAGAAACAAATTGATAATATGTTAAAAGATGGCATTATCGAAAGCTGCCAAAGCGAATGGTCAAGCCCGATCCTTTTGGTTCCAAAGAAAATTGATTCAAATAGGAACAGGAAATGGAGGCTGGTAATAGATTATAGGAAAATAAATGAGTGTATAGAAAATGATAAGTTTCCTCTTCCTAACGTAACAGAAATATTAGATGCATTATCAGGTAGTGTATATTTTTCACACCTTGATCTTTACCAGGGTTACTATAATGTTGAACTCGAACCAAACAGTCGAAAATATACGGCATTTTGCTCTGGACAATTCCAAATGACAAGAATGCCTATGGGGTTAAAAACTAGCCCTAGTTCATTCTCAAGAATGATGAATTTAGCATTAACGGGTCTAACACATGAAAAATGTTTAATTTACTTGGACGACTTAGTTTGTTTTGGAAAAAATATAATTGATCATAATAAGAATTTACAAGACATTTTTCAAAGGTTGAGAGAAGTTAATTTAAAATTAAATCCTTCAAAGTGCAATTTTCTGAGGAAAGAAATTTTGTATTTAGGACATGTTGTATCTGCTTTAGGCATTACGCCTGATCCAGAAAAAATCAGTACTGTAAAAAATTATCCCGTTCCAAAGAATACCGATGAAGTTAAACGTTTCGTTGCTTTTGTAAACTTTTATAGAAAATTCATTCCTCATTTTGCTGCAAAAGCATATCCCTTAAATTTACTTTGCAAGAAAAATGCCCATTTCAAGTGGGACCATGAGTGTCAAAATTCATTTAATATTTTAAAAGAAAATCTTACTACTCATCCGGTTCTACAATACCCGGATTTCTCAAAAAGAAACAATTTCGTATTACAAACCGACGCATCGAACTACGCTGTTGGTGCGGTTTTATCAAACAAAGACGGAAAGCCGATAGCTTATGCCAGTCGAGGCTTAAATCAAGCAGAAAAAAATTATCCGATAGTAGAAAAGGAATTACTTGCAATTGTTTGGGCTGTTAAACATTTTAGACCATATCTTTATGGGCAAACATTTAATATTTTAACTGACCACAAACCACTTGTTTATCTTTTCGGTATGAAAGACCCATCCAGTCGGTTAATGAAATTTAGAATGACATTAGAAGAGTACGATTTTACGGTAGAGTACGTGAAAGGCAAAGATAATGCGGCTGCAGACGCGTTGTCTAGGTTGTGTGTAACATCGAAAGACTTGAAAGATTTGAGTGAATGTATGAATGTTATGACGCGAGCACAGAGTAGGAAATTAAATGAGAATCCAAGGGATGTTATTGTTCCTGATGACAATCGGTCTGATCAACCAAAAGTCTTAGAAATATATAACAAACCGGACGATTCTGTAGAATTACAGTTTATAGACAACTTAGGTTTAACACAATTACGAAAATCAAATGAAATAAAAAATGAAAGCTCTATGTTATGTTATGTTCCTTCGAAAAGAATAATTTATATAAAACCAGTTGCTCGATCGCAACCGACGCCAAGCGCTTTTGCGAGAGAACTGAATGTTATGTGTAGTGAAATTAAAGTGGAAGAAATATATTTTTTAAAAAATAAAAATAATTATATTTTTATAGAGAAGCTAACGAAAGAAATTACTAGAAAAAGTAAATGGTCCGGACCACGATTATGTGTATTGAAAAATGTAACGAAAATTGAAAATAAAGATGATAGAAAAGTTATTTTAAACGATTTTCACCTCTTGCCTACGAGTGGCCACGCAGGCATCAGGCGAATGTTTAATAATAGAAGAAAATATTATTATTGGCCGGGATTAATCAACGATATAGAAAAGTTTGTAAAACGTTGTGATAAATGTCAAAAACAAAAATATACGAAAAACGAAATAGCTGAGATTAAAAATAAGTCAACTTTATAATAAACTTATTAAAATGTAATTAAAATTATTCTTAATGAAAAATGCTCTGAGATGGGACTCGAACACATGACCCTTTACAATCCGGGCAATTGTGGATTTTTTAAGCAGTTTTTTATTAGGAATATTTTTCAGTAAAGCATTGTGAATGCAAAATTGATCAAATATGCCTCGTTGTACTAGCCTTGAACCACTCGAAGATTGGCAGTAAATCCTTATCATCCTCTTGCACCTTTGATAGGGAATCCCTCCATTCCTCACTGAGATCTGTCTTTAACAACCTTACGGGCACCTTCGCTTCTTGTCCGGTGCAGTGTTTGCTGCTTTCAAGGTCTCCTCGAGAGTGCATCGGCGTTCCCATACGACTTGCCACTGCGATGTTCTATTACCAAATCAAACTCTTGCAGTGACTCAATAGAAGTTCTCTTCTTGTGTCGCAGTAGTTCTTTTCAGGCTTGGATAATACTTTACTGAAGTAGACTATCACAATCTCGTAGTCTCCTTTGCTCTATGATAAAACAAATGTTGCTTGCATAAGTGTCGACGATGAATTCATTCTCCGCATCTGGATATCCCAAAATAGGAGCATTACACAATCGCTGCTTCAACTCCTGGAATGCTACGTGACAGCTCTCGTCCCAAAAGAAGGTTCGTTTTTCTTCTGTAAGTATATGTAGAGGTTAGGTAATATCTGCAAAGTTTTTCACAAACCTCCACTTTCCAAATGACCTTTTTAAAATTGTAACGTTAAATTATAATATGTCCAAAATAATGAAAAACCTTAGAGTTTTATTACATAAAAAATAAAAATAAATAATCTAAAGAAAAACAAAAACCCGACTGCGTAAAAACTAAATTTAAAAAATACGTGAAAATATAACTTAAAAGTAAAACTAAAAAGAAAGAAACAAGCCCAGTAGCTTAGAATTCTGTTAAGTAATACAGAACAGAACACAGTTACAAACCGAAAATATGATATTCCAACAAATTCATTTTTATTCCAATAGTTATATTTGCAAACAAACTAAAACAAAATAAGGCGTAACATTTAGTGTAGCGTTTTGTATTTGGTTATTTTTGAGACTTCGGGCATCTAATTGTATTGTTAATCCAAGTATAAATATTTAAATTATTACTTAAATACTAAAATACAATACTTTGCTCTTTGGGATTTTCATAGATATTTTTTTATATGTCATTCTCTTTGTATGATAAAAAAAAGTTGAAGGATAATTTCCTCAATCAAAGTTTGTTGAGGTTGAGATTGTGATCATCGCCATATTTTATTCATTTCATTTTCATTTTACATGTAAAAATTAATTTATTTACTTGAAATTGGCAGAATTGTGCGAAATGCGCAGATAAGCCATTATTTAAAAAAGAAGAAAGTTTGTTGATAGTGTGGATATTAGGACCATTATATCACTACAAAATTTCATAATACTTAAAATGTATGATCTTGGAGATTTTTATCAGTCTTATCATGAACACGGATGTACAATACTACCTGAAAAGGATGTCACTGAAACTGATATTCATAGTAGCGAGCGGATATCGCGTCTTAGACGCTGGTGGTTTGATTTATTTCTTCTGTCCTATACTGATACTCGGGCACAACTTTATTATAATAGTTCATTTGCAATAAGGATCGAACGCAAAAAACATTTTCGTTATCACAAGAATTGTATTCATCCCTTGAGCAAATTCAGGTTTTATAAATTTTTATAAGTTCAGTTACTTCAGACTTAAGTATTATAGATTCAGCTTGATGAATGTTATGGTAGTTTTACCACGGATGTACCTAATACTCCGCGAAATAAGTCTATTGATATTAATTTATGAATTTAGAATATTATGAATAGAAGCTGTGATTTACGTTATCTAATAAAAAAAAATCTAATTTAACAATAGACTTCATTTATTCAAAATAAAAATATATAAATAACATAAGTCACATTAGTAAATAGAGTAATAAACACACTTTTGTTTTCTTTTTCAGAAATTTCTGGGACTTTACTATGTTACTGGTTATGATAATGAATAGCGTATTAATTCACCATGCCACTATTTACACTGCTGGACAATTTCCTTTGGCTATATATGCTTTGGGAATATTTTTTGAGGGTTTAATTATAATTGACATATATATAACTATAAAATGCGGTTATATCGATGACACTACTGGAAAGATTGTCTTGGATGTTCGAAAAAGCCTTATTAGATACTGCTCTACTAAACTACTCTTTCATGTTGCATCAGCCATACCAATTTTAACAATTACGTTTTTCAGATATGGTTGGAATATGACTTGTACAGTGTGTAAGGCAAATAAATTTGTTTGTACCCTCAATGTTATAGGTATTATAAAATTTTTCCGTGTTTACGAGGCATCTTTATGTCTGACCAGGGAAAGGAATAATTTTAAAGTAGTACGTGTGTGTAGGTTTCTTCAAATAGGCTTGCTTGCTATTCTAGCGATACTGCAATATTTCGGTATTAAGCATGTTGTTAATGTTTTGGAATTTCTTGATACAGGTCTTATAGATAAACGTACACTTTTCTATTATTTAAATCATAAGATAATCATCCCCCCGACAGCTACTAATACATACCTTTTTACAGTAACTTTTGCAAGAATTATTAGAATACTTTTGTACTTCAATTATGGGTACAATATAAGTGTACGTAGGTCAGACAGAATTTCTACCATCATATGTTACTTTGCCACATCAGCTTTCCAAATGTATTGTCTGTTAGAGGTGTTTGCTTGTGTCAGTCGGAAAAGATTTGCCGAAGATCATTTGATATGTAAAAGTATTGCAGCTAGAAATATGTCAATGTGTCGCCAACTACCAGATAAAATAGCGTTAAAATTGAAATCTTATTATGATTTTAATATGACCAAGTATAGAATTGTAGAGCAACACAATAAATTTTTCAAATCTTTCCCTATTGCTGTAAAAAGAGAAATAGTTATAAATTCTTACATAAGAAAAGTAACAAGAATACCTTACTTTGCGGAATGGCCTATGAGGATGATGGAAAATCTTATATTGTTATTAAAAGAAGAAATTTATCTCAAGAATGATACTGTGTGTGAGGTAAATTAATAATTTTTTTGATAATATTTTATGGAGTTCACTTTTCCGCGCAAAGCGTATTATGAGTAATTCTTGTAACCTTTTCGGGCTTGTAATAGGTTGAATTAATCTTTTTTATAGAATACCAAGAGATGCGAAGTAGGTGACTCAATCGAATTTTCTTTACATTATAATGGTTTGTTATTTTTTAAACTAATAACAATTATTTCTATAATCGTTATTATAAAATTTGTTGTATCAAGATAGATAAACAAATAATTTTATTAATAGATAAGCTGTTGCTCTCCAAGTCGCAGGCGCAATCCAGTTTTCTGGAAGGTAAAAAATCCTTGGACGCACTACTTGCGTGCGGCACATTTCAACCGACTGCAGTTTTTCTCTTGCGGCCGCTGCCGTCGCGATCGGTATTATATTTAATCATTTTGTTAAGTTAGTAAGTAATTTTTAAATTATAATATACCTGTATTGGGATTCCTTCGCACCCTTGTTAAGCTTCAAGATAGCCATCAACCCTGCCTCGAAGTTTTGGAGCCCTGGCAAGGAGCGCGTCCACGGGTTTTGTACGTTCCAGAAAATTGAATTGCTCCTGCGACGCGGAGAACAATAGCTTCAAGCAAGACTAGCTGTCGAACCCGTCACCGTCATTTATATACAAAATTACTTGTTTGTCTGTCTTCGGACAGCAAATTTCATAATAACATTTTTAGAAATAATTATTATATGGTTATAAAATTATAAGCTAATATTTATAAGTTACAATATCTTGCATTTGCTAATTGATTCTCCTTTTTATCGCAATCCGATTGATTTGTGTTTACATTTTAGTCGTATTCATAGCATTAATTCATATTATGTCGCCTTTTTTCATTACCCGCATCTACGGGCTTTTTTTTATGGGATAGGTGGCAGACGAGCAGACGAATCACCTGATGGTAAGTGATTACCGTCGCCCGTGGACACATGCAACACCAGAGGGGCTACAAACGCGCTGCCGGCCTTTGAGGGACGAATATGATCGTAGGGAGGGAAGGGAACAGGGAGGGGTTGGGCCTCCGGTACCCTCACTCACACGACGAAACACAACGCAAGCGTTGCTTTACGTCGGTTTTCTGTGAGGCCGTGGTATCACTCCGGTTGAGCCGGCCCATTCATGCCGAAGCGTGGCTCTCCCACGGTTTAAAGGGCTTCCTGCAAACTTCGCTCAGTGGGGAGGCCTGCACGCGTAGCATGACAAACTCGAGAAACGCTTTGTCTACACTCATATGTCAGTTTCTCGGGTCGAGAGTGAGATATTGTATGGGCGCACCAGAGAAAAGTGACAATTGAGTGTAGACAAAACGTTCTCGAGTTCGTCATGCTACGCATGCTGGTGAGGGCATAATCCTCTATGAGAGTCGCTCGGTAATCGGACTAGTAATAAACAACTTTTCAAGTAGATACTTAAGTATTTATTTTATTTATCTTGAAGTTTATAATTACGATGTGTATTGTAGTGTGGAGTTCCGGGCAATGGAATGATCATCGTTGATGCTGGAGTAATGGCGGTGTACACATCTGATGGTGAAGAAAAGGGACATCTTATTGATGGCGATTACTTTGGAGAGCTTTCTTTGATCATTGATAATGAACGCCGTACATCCTCAGTATTAGCTGTCACTACTACTAAAGTGAGGCTTATTCAATAAATAATACAAAAGATCCCAAAAATAATTATAAGTTAACTAAAGACTCAACTCATATTAAATATCTATTTCTCATTATCATTACAAAGCAAATGGAAACGCACTTCATATCTCTTGAAATAGCATGAAATCATAGAACCGATAAATAGCAGGAATGAGGAAGTATTAAAAAAAAAATTGTTCCCGTAATCAAACTAGATGTCGCTACGGTACGTTCTTGATTTCTCCATGACAACCTTTCCGGTTTTCTTTCATGTTTAAAAGTAAATTAGTTTTCAAAAGTCAATAAACAACTCATATTCTATTTAAAGAAAAAATATTTCGTATTTGTATTGATATCTAAGTTTCAAACTTTTCAAATTTCAGTTTTTAATATGTTAGTTAAAAGGAACTGAAATTAATGTCTTTAGTCCATTCGTTTCCTGCAAAAATCAACTGTTACTAGAGTCGCCATCTAGTGGAGGTGCTTTTTTAGTGCTTTCTTTTTTTCTTAAATACTTCCTCATTGGCGTGACTTCGTCTTAAATTTTGTATTTCTTCTGATTTGGCGTTTTATGAAGCCGACACTGATATTACTTTTTACGATCGCCCCTTTGCTTTTTGCCCTAAAAAAGGTCTTAAGGATTATTTACACGAGGCCTAGCCTATCCTGTTCGAGTGTATCTGGCTCGAGTCAGTACTCGAGCCAGTAATCAAGACCGTTCAACAAAATAAAACGGTTTAATAATACTAGCTTGGCTTACTGGATTGGTTAGGCTACTAGCCTCATGTAAATGGTCCATTTCGTATAGCTTTAATAGCGCTCAGACCGAGTCTACCGGAAGTCTGAAAAACAAAAGACCACGTATGCCCGAAGAAATGACAGTCTCCAATCACGGTGGCTGTAATCGATGATAGGTAATAATTATGAGTATGTATGTTCCTCAGTGTGGATAGTTCTATTGTCTTAGGTATAGTACAAATTATATTGAAATTAAAAGAGTAAGTAAGGAATAGGTACCCTTAGTGAAATCTAAATCAATTGTTGTGTATAAATTATCATACCTTTTGTATTACAGGTTTTAGTACTAGAAAAAGGTGCCTTCAGACTATTTATGAGAGAATATCCAAAACTCTTTTTCGAAATGAAACAAAGTATAAGAGATTTATATCTCGGTACAGTGAGCAGTCTTGATTCTACTGGAGTCAAAACACAGAGTTCATAATAGTGATAATAAACGTCATTTAGATTAGTGGACTACCTGTAATAATTATTTAATAAGATGATACTATGTTGTATTTTATATTTATTTCTATGAATTGAAATAAGATATAAAGAAAAGATTATCGTCACACGTATTTAAAAAAAAAAATATTATAATCTTTTAATTACTGAAACGCAATTTTTAATTTAAGAAAGACTTAAGTAATTTCAAGTATAATTTAGGCTTATTATTTATTACTCGAACTTGTGATATGATGTGAATTCCTATTTAAGCTGCAGCGTCTGCTACTCATGAAAAAAATGTATTTCATAATGATCAATATGACTACAACATGCTACATCTTCAATGGATTTTCCTGGACAACCTACTGGATAACTAGATTTAAAGATATATACCTCATTTACACTGATCATATCTCACTCTTGACTTGTCTTCGAGCCTCTCGAGAGTTTCTGGAGTCTCTCGAGCTCGTCATGCTACGATTACTGGTGACTATAAAAGTGTAAAACAATATATTTGTTAGGAGAAGTTATTTTATATCGCTAGTTGTTGATAAAGAAAGAGCTACGAATTTGTTTCTTTAGTTTTTTCAAAAATGTTTAGATTTCTCACTTTTCTGATATTCATGGTCGGTTTCGGGACGATATTTGTAAAGCTGATGTTTTATATCCAGATTCCCTATAGTATTGTTATGATAAGAGTATCACTGTAAACTCAAATTCATTAATTGCTTTTATGTGGTAAAATTTATATAATTTTGAATGTACACACTTTAACATAATATTGTTAATGTAGGTATATATTAGAGATTAAGTAATTTATGTAAGTCTGAAAGCTTTGTCTATTTTTATTATGTTTTTTATGTTATAAACATCACCGTCATTGTTTTTTTACTCAATTTAAGAACATTTAAGTAGGTGTCCACTTAATTTCTTTTTTATTCTGATTGTAAGGGTCGGCACATATAAGATGGAAATTTCCGTAGAATGTTTCACGAAAATGTGCGTTGGTACACTGCGATATGCGTCGGATTATGCGTCAAAAATTCAACCGTGACTGATAAGACGACGCATCTTCTGTTATGTATACTCTAAACTAAAGCGACAATGCTTGTATGCCAGAGGATGGATGTGGTTTAATTTCAAATTTAGCGAATTACTACAAGTAATTAATAATCTTTCCATCAATTTAATATCTTTTTGAAAATTCGAGTACTCATCAAATAGTGATGTACTAATGCATTATCAATTCGATTTATCTAAGTCGTCGTTTTTATTTATGAAGAAGTTTTGATTGATATTTTATTTAAGTATGCATAACATTAACTTTAAGTCACTTTATATAACGCCTTTGGGCATTAATATGCTTTCATCTATGTACCTATAGAAATAAAACAAGTGAATTATTTTGATATAATTTTACTACATTAAATCGTCTGATTCTTCTTCATATGAAATAGAATCGTCACTGGAATCATCAGTGACATGAATGACGAATTGTTTAGTACAAAAATTGTCAAATGCAATATTACAATCCCAATCCGAAAATATTTCTCTTTTCGTTTTTTCAACGACGCTTGCCCAGTTTTCAGGCGTCATATTAGCAAACACATGTTTTAACAAATCTTAACATTTTGTTTGCAGTGAAAGGAGCAGTAGTATTATTTCTAGCGGCATGTCCTTTTATTTATGCCCAAATGAGCTCAATGGAATTGGCATTGTATTGACACTGGTATGGGGGAATTCTTAGTACGATATGCCCATGTTTTGCTGCCATTTCGTCGATAGCATATCGTTTCGGCCGCTTTTTTGATTTCGAATTTCCAACAATTCTATTATAAGTAGGGACTCGTCCACATCCTCCCCATTGTCACGGAGCAAGTTTATGATCTCGTGTTTTCTGTTGGCCTGTGGTGGCACTTTATTAATTTGATTAAAGTGGTAAGATGCGTTGTCAATAAATATTATCGACGGTTCTGGGACAGATGAAAGCATCTCTTGGAACCACTTTTCATACTCTTGCGTATTCATCTCCTCATGACAGTCCCCTGTTTTTTGGGACTTAAAAGCTAACAGAGCATCTGGCAAAAATCCTCTTGCTGTACCCGCATGGCAAATAATGAGGCGTTTCTTCTTTAGTTATTTTTGTCACTGTTGTAACGTAAATACCTAAAGCTGCACACACAGACACGGTCATGTGTTACTGGTATAATAGGTCCGCCATTATGAGTTTATTTTTCAAAATAGTCACGAAGCCGTAATACAAACTCTCTCGATTGCCCTTTAAGCACTTTACCTTTCGGCATCTTGCAAGTATAAAGCTTATGGGGAATGTATGTAGCCACAATTCAATACAGAGGAATGTAAATACACTCAACTAAGATGTAAGAAAAATGCTAATGTAGACTCAGCGAACGGATACGTAGTGATAGCACGGGAGTTTCGTTGCGAATGACAGACAGACAACAAAATGGCGTCGCGGATAATTTTTTTGTAAAAAGGTATTATGGCTCTGGCTACTTGGACTTTTGAGCCTGTCTTCCGTATTCTTATTTCATTTCCCACCTCTTTTGCTAAGCCTAATAAGTTTAATATTACTTCTACTTAGTTACTCTAAAAAAATCCTGACTTGAATAATCGATGTTTCTAGATAATAAAATTACCCCACAAATTGATTAGTAATTATTGGAGTAACAATGTCACATCACTAGAAGGATGTTACCATAGAGGAGTAAAAACGATGTAAGATGTCTTCCTACTTAGTCTATGATGTCTTCCTTCGTGTGCGGTGTGTGTTAAGTAAAAAGATGTGAGTCTAAATGTTAAATAAAGAAATATATGCAGAAGATTGGTTTCCGTAAATTCACTATCCTCCATCCATAACCGTCAACAGGTTATGGGCCCAGGAAACTCTTGATTGATATTGATTACTGTTGCGCGAAACACATGAGGTTATTAAAAAGAAAGATTTTGGAGTTCGGTGGAACAGACGGAATCACGATGGACGAAAAGAGATGTGTTGTACTGAACGGCAACAATTGGCCGGTATGGAAATTCCAAATTACGGTTTTATTAAAGGCAAGAAAATTGTTCGACATCGTTAATGGAAAAAGCATATTATCAAAGGAGGCTACATCAAAAGAGAAAGAGTTATGGGAAGAAAACGATTGTAAGGCGCAGGAGATTTTGGTTACAAGGATCGATGAGCAGGTTTTGACGTATCTATCGTCATGCAACACAAGCCAAGAAATGTGGAATAGACTTATCACTGTATATGAACCTTCTTCACAAGTTAGTGTTCACTTGATTCAACAGCAATTCTTTAACTTGAAGTTTGAGGAGCCCATTTTAAAGTTCATCTCCAGAATCGAAGAAATATCAAGCCAGCTTAGAAGTTTCAATGAAGCACCATCAGACAAAATGATTATAACAAAGATACTGATGACATTACCTGAGAAATATAAGTATTTTGTAAGTGCATGGGAGTCAGTACCAGAAAATCAGCAAAATGTGAAAGAGTTAACATCGAGATTGTTAATAGAAGAGGAAAGGAGTAACAAATCTGAGGAAGGTGGGTCGGGTTCATCGGCATTCCTTATGAGAAATATCAAGAGGAAGATTTCTAACAGTGAAAGTGAGCGTAAGTGTTTTTTGTGTGGTAAAGTTGGCCACTATAAGCGTGACTGTAGGCAAAGAAAATGTTATCGGTGCAACAAAATGGGTCACATAGCTACAGAGTGTAAGCAGCCTGTTAAGTGTTATCGGTGTAATAGAGTGGGACATTTATCTAGAGACTGTAAAACTGCAGAAATTAAAAATAAAAATGATAATGCCTTTTTGGTTCAGGAACCTTTCTTTAAAAATAGTTTTGAATTTATAATGGATTCAGGTGCAAGTGAACATATGACATATAAGAAAGATTGGCTTTCTAATTTTCTTAAAATTAATAAAAAGGTAATTGTTGGGGATGGTAAATATTTAAATGTAGAGGGTATTGGTAATATTAAGTTTTTGGCATTTGATGGAACAAAGTATTTACCTTCTGTAATGCATAATGTTTTGTATGTTCCTGATTTGAAAGCAAATTTATTTTCTGTAACAAAAGCAATTGATCATGGTTATATGTTAAAGTTAAGTAAAAATTACTGTAAATTTATGTCAGATAAAACAGTTGTTGCTCAAGCCAAACGAGTTGGAAATTTGTATTTAATGGATTTTAGAATTCAATGTTTATTTGATAGTTCTGTATTTTTGAGTTTATCTGAATGGCATGAGAGGTTAGCCCACCAAAATTTAAGACATGTAAAAGAGATATTAAAAAGACAGAATATTAAATATGAAGGGCAGATTGATAATTGTAGGTCTTGTATACAGGGGAAACAGCATAGGTTACCTTTCTTTGACAGTAATAGCCGTGCGAATCGACCTGGAGAATTGGTGCATGCAGACTTATGTGGTCCGATGGAAGTGCGTTCATTGGGAGGGTCATCATATTTCTTATTGTTTAAGGATGACTACAGCAATTACGGGTACGTCTATTTTCTTAAAAGTAAGCATGAAACGAAAGAGAGAATTAAAGCTTTTCTTATGCAGTTTGAGAATGAGTTTGAGTGTAAGGTTAAAAGGCTTAGAACAGATGGAGGTGGTGAATTTAAAAATAGGGATTTAGAAATGATACTAAGAAAGAAAGGTATTGTACATGAAACCACTGTAGCATACACACCAGAACAGAATGGAAGGATAGAAAGAGAAATGCGAACAATAGTAGAGTCAGCTAGAACTATGATGATTAATGCTAATGTTGGTAAAGAATTGTGGGCAGAAGCAGTAAGTAATGCAGTGTACACAATAAATAGAACAGGCAATAGTAGCCAAAAGGGTAAAACTCCATATGAACTGTTGTATAAGAAAAGTTATGATATAAATAATTTGAAAATTTTTGGAACTGAAGTTTATGTACACATTCCTAAACAAAAGAGACAAAAGTGGGACGTGAAAGGAATAAAGGGAAGATTTGTAGGTTATGGCAGTTATAGTAAAGGTTATAGAGTGTGGTTTGAAGATAAAGGAGAAGTTGAAATAATGAGAGATGTAGTGTTCTTACATGGAAGATTTAACAAAGAAGAGTTAAAACAAACTAATGAGAAGAAAGTTAGTAGCATGTATGAGAAAGAAGAAAGTAATGAGATAGATAAAAATGAAAAATTGATGGACAAAGGTGAAGGTGAGAGTGAAGAAGAACAATATGAGGAATACATCGAAACTGAAAATATAGAGGAAGAACAGGGAAGAGCATCTAAAGAACAGGAAAGAAAACAAAAACAGATTAAAGAAAACCGAAAAATAACAAAGCAGAGTGACACAGATACAGAATATGAAGAAGAAGAATATTTGGAAGAGGAGTGGTTTAGTCCTGATGAAACTAATGTCAAAGAAGAAAAAGTAAGAAGAAAAATAAAGAAACCAAAATGGACAGAAGACTATGAACTAGGAATGATGGTACAAGGAGAAGAGGAATTAAGTTATGAAGATGCAATAAATGGTAAAGACAGTAAGAAATGGATAGAGGCAATAAATGAGGAGTTAAAAATGTTGAAGAAGAATAAAACATGGATTGAGACTGAGTTACCAAAAGAGAAGAAAGCAATTGATAGTAAGTGGGTTTTCAAAATAAAGAAAGATGGAAATACTAGTGATAAAATATATAAAGCTAGATTGGTAGCAAGAGGATTCAAGCAAGAAGATAAGTTTGATCATTCAGAAGTTTATGCGCCAGTTGCAAAATTACCAACGTTGCGGATTTTAATGGCTATTGTTAGCAAATATAATCTGCATATGGATCAAATGGATGTTAGAAGTGCCTTCTTACATGGAGAAATAAATGAAGAGGTATATCTAGAAAAACCCAGAGGTATGAAAGAAGATGGTAAGGTACTGAAACTTCAAAAGTCACTTTATGGACTCAAAAAGTCACCCAGATATTGGAATATGAAATTTGATCAATTAATGATTCAGGAAGGGTTTA